AGGCGTGAGCATCTCTCCAACAAGAGCAATTTCTGTTTCCTGCTTTGCATGAAACTAGGCAGAGCGGCTCCGAGAAGGGCAGTGCGTGGTGGTGTGGCGTCATTTTTATAATGAGCCGGCTTACAGGCCTCCATCGACAGCGTGTCTAGGGCCTGCCCCTTGGCCTCCCCTCCTCGTTCCCCAGAGTCGCCCGAGCCTGGAGCCCAGGAACCCTGAAAGGGGATCCAGTTCCTCCTCCTCCTCTGCCCAAGGGGATGGAAGTGGGTTCTGAGCGCTTCTGGTGCTCCGAGGAGTGGGACCACTCTCCAGTGGGTGGCTGCCTGGGCCGGCGCTCGCCGGGACCTGTCAGCAGTGACCAGGAGGTGGGCTGTCTACGGATGTAGCCACAGGGACGGGAAGAGACACCCTGGGGCAGGGGATGGGGCTGCCTGCTCCAGACCCAGCAACGCCCCCTCCTTCTCCTGTGTGTGCACGTGGCTGAGCCCAGAACGCACCCAGAGCAGAGTGTGGGAAGGCCGGCAGGAGGGGCTGAGTGGGTGGGGGAGGCCGCAGGCTGGGTTTTGAGAGCCTGCTGGGAGCCAGGTGGGGCTGGAGGCATCCTTCCAGCTACTCTCGGTTTAATCTTCATAATAATCCGTCCATGGGGGTGAGGATGCTCTGCAGGCTCAGCCTCGGGCAGCTCACAAGCCGAGAACCCCTGCCCACCTGGGTGCTCCGAGGCCGGCACTGTTACTCCCATCCTTACTCCCGGGACAATGACTTGTCCAAGGACACAGGGTCGCTGATGGCCAAACCTGGCCCCAACCCAGCAACATTCGCTCCCTGGCCCTTAAGGCAAATGAGCCAAGATTCTTTGCACCCTGCAGCTCCGTGGCCTTTCAAAGCTTCGCGGGTGCGGGGCTGCGGGAAGGGGGGCTGGGACTTTCTCCAAAAGCAGGGTCGCCTTCGAGTTCTTTTTTTTTTTTTTTTTTTGAATTCTTGTTTCTGCTGCCCTGGAGTTTTCTCTGTCTCCGTATGTTAGAAAGAAAGAAAACAATTTAACGACAACAACACAGAAAAAACTTAGTTCATTAAAAAAAAATACAGAAAAGTCTGACTTATGTGAAATTTAATTTAATTTATTTTTATACCAGCAGCTGTCAGTTCAAAGAACAACAACAAAGTAGCCATCTGTGCTTAATTTCATCAATCCGCCGCCGATGGTGGTGGTCACGTGAGCAGGGCTCTTGGACGGGAGGCAGAGCACGTGGCCAGATCGCAGCCCCCCTGCCCCCCACGGGCCCTCCGTCCAGGTGGGGGGCTGGTGGCTCCGTGCGGGGAGCCGTGGGCACGGCCCCTGGGCACTGGGGCTGAACTTGTCGCCAACGAGGAAAACGCAGTCCCGACACAGCAGCCCCGGCTTTTCGCCTTTGCTTGGGCCCGTGGGTGAAATCTGGCAAAACCCGACTCCATGTGCCGTGGTGAGTGGGCTGAAAGGTGGGGAAACTGAGTCTCAGAGGGGTCTCTCGCCTGGAGTCACACGGCCGGTAAACAGATGCAAACCCTGGTTTGTTTCAGCCCAGGACCCAGTCTTCTCACTGTGCCCG